GCGATACACGTGACGAACTGCACAGACGACCCTCCCACCCACTTCAACGACATTTAAAGGTGAGGATTTTTTTTTTCTTTAATCTGGTGTGGTGAATAGGTGTATTAGACTTTGGAAAATTAGGGGATGGGGGATAGGAGGCAGGAAAGGTCAGGTTTGGATTTTAGGTTCGCAAGATACCCTGGTTTTGGGTCTTGGTCTCTGAAAGGTGCGTCGCTCTCGGTAACAAATACTACTTTATTATTATTTAATATATTATATGCGGGTTCTGGTCTATGCATGTCATCAATACGACCTGATCCGCTGCCGGTGAAGCCACAGCTGTCGATGCGCGTTATTACCGTAATAGCTAATTCCCTTCCCTTTAACTAACCAAAAATAGTCGGGTCACAATGTCTATTTAGTAGCCTACATGATAACCATCGCATACACTGAAGTATCAGGACATTAGGTTATGATCTCTCACCAGTTCCATCCAGCCTCCGACTTCCGAAACCATTCTTTTTGGAATGGAATCTCCCTTCGTAGTTTAACGCTGTTATGCCGCTGCTTTCCGTCGCATTTGACTCGTTGATGATTGGTGGAACTTGTATTCCCCGACGGCAGTTGATAAACTGTGTAAGCATCGGCTTCGCACTATATTTTGGGGAGGAATTAGCATGATTTACATACAGGAGAACGGAACAAAAACACTAACACTTAAATCGGGTTTGATCAAACTCTTCGGGGGCAGGAACAACATTTTACCTTTACAATTAAGTTATGCATAAGGCTTCATTAATTGTATATCATACAGCAACGGTATTTTATTTATTGACTGCATTTACAAATAGTACAAAGAAAAGCAAAGCCCCCCCCCCCCAAAAAAAAAAAAGCGCTAGTGACGATTCCCTGTCACTTTGAACACAATTTAGTAACAGATTGCAAACCTTAGTGATTATCAAATATTGTAAGTCCAGTGCTAATACGTGTCTTAAAATGCAAGATGGAATTTAATGACCTTTGCCTGAGTCCAAAATACTTCGGAGGCCGTGGCGGAATTTCATGCCACGCAGCTAAACATTATTGCTCGCCCCGCGGAACTACGAAAGCTTTAGCCCGATTTCGTTACGCACTGTCATGGCACACGCAATCAATAAACTGCGGTAACTTGCAATAGCCTTATTGGTAATAATTTGTATTAATACTGCGTGTATTCTTGTTCAATTAGAAGCAAGATTTTATTGCATGATTTGCGTATTACTTGATGTTCGTGCAATAGATTTTGCCAGTTGTCGTTATACGTTAAATTGTACAAACCTTGTATCGCCGCGCCTCCGTTATTATGCTTCACCATAATACGCCGTCCTCCACGTGGTAGTATTGCCAGGGGTAGCTGTATTTCGCGATTTGTAAAACTCGGCCGGATTTCAGTACATTTTTTTCAACACGTACACTTGCTTTGACAGCGGCCAGACACCCCCCTGAACTTTCTTGTGGGCGAGGGTAAGGTTTTCAGAAATTAATAGTTCTGATTGGTCAGAAAGGACTGACGTCATATTCTGAACTTTTCATTGGCTAACATTTGTGCGTGTTTGTTGAAGTATAATCCGGTAATTCGCCAAAAAGTGCCCAGTGTACAAAGTACATACTTCACATTTTTTCATACGATGAATATGTTGTATCGTACTTTCGGTTAAAGTTTACAAAAGGACCGCACCGACTAGGAGAAAATTGAAGATCATAGCGTTGTAGGCAATGAAAAACTACATTGACTGATATCAAAATTAATTTGCAGAAGCCTATCGATTCCAGTTAAACGACGAAAATAGATCGGGGTGAGTGCCGCGCTGCGGCTAAGTCCACACGCGACCTATGTTTACTAAGTTCTCGCGCATTGTTAACCCCGACTGCTCGGCCACTGCGCACCTACGTCACATGACGTCACGACGAATCGTGTATTCCATTGTTTTTTTTTAGCTTTTCATACGTTTCTAATCTTAATATTTTTCTTGCATAAACATAAGATGTTATTTAAAATATTTTTTTTCTATTTCATATTGACCTTGTTTCGTCAATTAAGGCCTGTTAATTTTTTTTAACAATGATTTCATTTCATACTTTGCGCGCGTAAACGAAGGATGGCTACTTTGACAGCCGGTCAGTTTCAAGTATGACTAACCGGTGTCAAGACTGCGAAAGTGGCTTTGGTGTCTTTTTCAAAAAAAATTCAGGTGAAACTGAAGAACTGATTCGCTTTTGTAGAGCACATGGCCGCCTTCTAAATACTATACAGTGTATAAAGTGTGGGGCAGACTGCCGAACTGATTTCAACAAAAAACAATTTAGATATGACAAGTCTAAAAAAATACACAATAGGCGTGTAAGATGCCAGTTTCAGAGGTCTATTTTCAAACACACATGGTTTGAGAATAGTCATATAGACATTGAAACGAATTTATTTTTCGTGAATTTATACTTGAGAAATTATTTTTCATACGAACTTATCAAAGAGGAACTTGGTTTATCCAAAAAACTATGTGCCTGGGCAAGCTTTTGCCGAGAATTTTGCGTCTCATGGTGACTGAGAAACACCTATGAAAAAATAGGTGGCACTGATTACATTGTCGAGATAGACGAAAGCAAATTCGGGAAACGAAAGTACAATGTTGGCCGGTCAATAGAGGGGCAGTGGGTGTTTGGCGGGGTCTGCCGCCAGACAAGACAATTTTTTCTATTACCGGTTGCATCCCGAGACGCTGAAACATTACTCGGCATAATTAAAGAAAAGATTAAGCCGGGTACTATTATTATTAGTGATTGCTGGAAGGCATATAAATGCCTTGAACACGAAGGATTCAGACATTTAACGGTAAATCACTGTTAATTTTGTGGACCCGGTGACAGCCGCCCATACCATCACCATTGAGCGGAAGTGGCGAGAGGCCAAGGCGAAAGTTCCCCGCTACGGAAGGAGGAAGTATCACTTCGTGGGATACTTAGCTCGGGCGATGTTCCAGATGAACATCCCCGAGTCTAATAAGCGCCTGCACGAATTCCTCCTTGCCGTAGCTCGCCTGTACCCTCCTCACTAAGGTATGTAAAATGATTATGGCGAATCTAGTGTTCAAGAGGGGGTTCGTGGCGGATCCCCCTGCTGCTGAAGCACAGCGATCGGGAGGGGGTCCGGGGGCGGAGCCCCCGATAGGAAAATACGGCGATCGGGAGGGGGTCCGGGTTAGGTTAGGTTAGGTTCATTTTTCTACTTTCTTTATCATTTGAATTACGATTCTTGGCTCGGGTTTTTCATTTTTCCACTTTCTTTATTATTTAAAATTACTTCATGGAACTTTATTGTTGCTGTTTATTCGCAATCTCATCGATATTCATCCCCCCCCCCAAAAAAAAAAACCCGGTTCCCCACGGGATCCCCCAAGATTGTTGGCTGGAGTTCGGGACTTGGTCTCCGACGGGTGCGGTCCTTTTATAAACAATTACCGTACTTTCATATGCAGTGTGCTGTGCATTGCGCGAAATTAAGGTGTTCAGATATCTTGGAAATCCTGTTAAATTGTTACCGGCTATAAAGGTTTTGTCAACTCTTATCTGATTATTTTTAATCTCGGAGCTATCACCATTACATTACCTTCAGGATTACAATAAAAAGTGTTTAGTGGTTACCTTGCCGAAAACTTTCATCTGACAAAAGGAGCGCAACTAAAAAAAAAGGGAAATGTAGGACAGAGTCGAGAAACGATCGACCCATCATTTATTTTTTAAAGTCCCCGTCGTATTTATCTTGCCAGGAACAAAACAAATGTGACGTAACTACTTAATACGATCTATCAGTTAGTATGTATTAATGTGCCCTTGTGAGAACGAATATTTTGTAATCCCAGCGTCTGTTTTTTTCCGAATTCATGTATTTAATGAAATCTTTACTTTCATTATACAATCGTTGAGAAACGCGTGTGAAAACTTTGTTGCGTTGATTCCAGATCATTTTTAAAGCCATATAGTGGATATACAGAACAGAGATAGTCTATCGTAGCCTGATAGATAAGCCCAAAAAGTGCCCTAAATGCAGAAAATGTTTTTTCTAATCACTAACCATAGACGGAAGCGAAGGAAAGCTCGGTTTCACTTTAATGAAGTATGTGGTTTTACCCTTGGTCCAGGGGGCAGAGCTCCATGACTAAGAAATACATCTATCGTATTTTCTTAAAACCACTGGCTAGGGAATGTATAGATCGTAGTGGGTTAAGGTTAGGTTGTTTTATTGGTTAGGACGCATTATACAATTACCACAGGGATCTGAATTTTGTGAAACCCTTAGATTTTTCCCAAACCATATGTTTGATTCCCATAGTTTTTTTAAACCTTTTACTGTACAGCAAATGTGCATGTGGTAGTAACGAAAGCAGAGATGTTGCTTGAAATGTGTAACAAACCTCATGGCACCAGACATGTTAGGAATATAAAGCAAATTTGTTAACTAATCGAAACTGGGAAGCCAAATTGCAAGCGGTGACCTCCACTATTTTAGGGTCATTTATGATAAGGAAGAGTTTGTGCCAGCATCCCTCACTTTTGTATTTTGATCTGTATAGCATCCTATTTTAGGTCGGCAAAGAATGCCGTGAAACGTGTCCTATTACTTGGGTTATCATATTCTTTCAGTAGATAAGCAAGCTTCAAATTTATATGCTAGGTATCTTGTTTACAATGAAAATGGAATTTTTCTTTAACTATAGCTTCAGACAGTTATGAATTGCTGGTTATACACGTTTTTCAGTCCTACATACTGATGTAGAAATAGTTTGCGTAGGGCTCACCGTAATTAACATAGGAAGAAAAATAGCTCTCCAAATCAGCCAAATATTTTTTTTCCTCTTTATACGATTTCAAAAAACGAAAGTATGGAAGAAAGAATTTTTCTTTTCACTCATGACCAAAGTGTTGACCTGTTGGTTGAAAGATTAGCAAGAAGTTAAGGTCACTGTTTTGATTTTTTTTTTCCATTCCTAACAAGCTGTTGGAAGCTGATAGTCTTATTGGTATACCATAGAATTTCACGTAATTTAAAGGCCTCACAGGCATAAATTTGTATCCCTGCCACCAGAAAAATCCAATGTGTATAGGCCAAGAAAGCTAGACGGTTATCCAAAAGTGAATATGGTCTCGAGCATATATATAGAAAATGAGTTTTATCAATGCATATGCTTATTTTCTATTCGTAAGCACACACATGAACCATTGTTTCATATCCACATCCCTACTGCCCCCACCCCCTTCTTTTTTTTTTCTTCCCAGTCCTCGTTTGCCTTCGGATTTTTTTAAAACGTGTTATAATAGAGCAATGTACGTGGCAAACTCGATCGTCTAACCCCACTAGGCGCACCTCTTCATATTTGTCCTCTGTTGCAAGAGGCTTATGTCAGTTGTCATTAAGGTCAAGAGCTAGTTGGCACTTAGTTTAGTTTTTTGATCACGTGCAAAAGACTGAAGAGTACTACTGCTCAGTTTTGTTAATTGTTTTATATAGCCTACGGATGTGATAAGACGTTTTTGCCTCAAATTAACAATAATTTGAATCAATAAAGTAGCCAAATATGTATACTGCAGTCTGGTATAAACGGCATTCTTATTAGAAGAGGTAAAATCTGTTTTAGCATTTATTACATTCGGCGGATAAATAGCCTTTTAAGGGCCGACGTTGTCTAGAAAGTTAATGTTGCCTTAAAAAAATAAACTTTCTTTAGCAACTTTCTGAGCAGCAAATCATTCTTTAGAAAACCTAGATTTAAAAATTGAGTCTTGTCCTGACAAGTAAATATTTTGGAGCCAAAATGCATCTAATGTAAATGTGCTAATACTCTGCTTAATATGACCTTGTTTGATATGACTTTAGATAAGATTCAAGGCTATGCATAATACTAAATGCAATATTTTTCTTTTCAGACAAGATTTGTTCCAGCAACAGATACAAGATTTTCCCGTCAAAGTGAGTAGACAAGATGGCTCCTGTAAGTGCAAGTACTCAGGTCAAAATGGCGGGTTCGCTAGTGGCCAAAGTAGGGCTCAGTGGCATCCGGAAGGCCACACAGAAAAGGAGAAGTAGCACCAACCCCATCCTAAAGAAAACATTCGAAACAGGAATGCGAAATCTAGTGGAACACGGGATAGAGAAGGTCCTACGAGCCGGAGGAGTCCAACGACTAGCAGAGAGGGGGTTCTCGAAGGTCAGAAGGGAAGAGCTCCGGAAAGTGGCCGACGACGTTAAGAAACTAGCAACGTCGGGTTTGCTGAAGGTGTTCACCCGAGAGCTCCCTGCGTGCGGTGACTCGGAAGGCGATGAACACGAAGTGGGTGGAGGACAATTATATAATTCCACTCGAGAGTCACAGGTTGACTTTCAGAGCTTTTTAAAATAAGGAAGTCGATGGGTAAATTAATGCTTTTTAATACCGTTTTTAAGAATAAATTTTTAATGTATGTGTTCTTGTTTTTTGTATGTTCCTTGACCTTGCTATGGGATAGAGATGTGCAACCCATTTTTATGTTCCACAATGCATGGGTACTTTACACTTCTAATAGGCCTCTTCTTTTCTAATCGGTTACCTGCGATAGATTTAGAAATCCTCAATTAGGTTATCATGCTATTCTCGCACAAGTAAATTATACTAAAGTTTTCTTCTTGACCTACTGCTTATATGCTACAATTCCTCTCTCGCTCTGAAATTACAATTATACTCTTTGGGAGGTAAAGATAACACCCGGTACACCCTCCCCCCCTTCTCAAATATCTTCCTCCTCGTTGTCATGGGGGGTCAGGAGACCTACGGGCTTCGCCCAACCTATCGCTATATATTGAATATGCTGCTAATAACCCTAAATGTTGACGCGGCAGAAAACGATACACGGGCTGTGTTGTGCGCCCAAAGATACAGGCACTCTATACCGCAGCACCACCCCACAAAACTATACCACACAGCCACATACGATAGCCACTCCACATACCCTTACCCCCCACCCCCCCCACATCCAAACCAGTCACCAACACCGTGGCAATGCACATCGCCCACACATCCTGGGGTATTAAGTCTAGAAAACGGTGCAATTAAATTATAGAATTATACTTAGTAACCAATACTTCATCAAACCAAGAATATGCAGGAGACTTGAGTATGGGTGTTGCATATATATATACATAAAGTATTAAAGTAAAGTATTGTAATACTGTGTAATAACATACGATTATGATCCTCTATAAAGAAATGTGTGGAGGTTACGGGCGAAGTGAATGCGGTTTTGCTGAAAATTATAATGCATGTTAAATGGTTACTTCCTTTGCAGACATTATACAGTCCTCCCTCCCAACTTCTCCTATCTTAAGCCCCCCATTCACGCTACGTAAAATAGCTACGGTTCAAGTATGGTTCAGTAAAACTGTGCAGTTAATGTAGCGTGAGTGGGGCTTTTTTTGGTTTGCGCAGTTGGACGGAACCATAACATAACAATATCCAACGTGTTTGATATTTTTGCGGCTTGTGGCTGTACCATAACGCAGACCATAACCGTGTGTGGGTGTTTTCACCGAATTTGCTCAGTTTTGACTAAAGGAAATCATGACCACGTGTTTAGCTGAAAAATATATTTGCTAATTTCGTCTATCTTTTTTTATTTTCAGGTGCATTTTCCCCAACATGGAAAATAAATTTAGCAGAGAATTCTTAAGTGAAGTAATAGAACTGTATGGAAGTTTCCCGTGTTTGTGGAAAATAAAAAGCAAAGAATATTCAAATAGAATTTTTTTTAAAATGAGGCTTACGTGGAACTTGTGAAGAAATTCAGAGAGAAAATACCGAATGCAGATAGAGATATTGAAAGTAAGCCTCGCTGTAAGCCTCTCATGGGGTGAAATTGCTTTCCGCATGACGGTATCTTGTCTTTTAATTAATGGAGTCAATAGTGATAACAATTCTGAGTAAGTTTGCTCATCCATTCTCAAGTAATTGAAATAATCAACAGGTTCCAAACGAAGTTCATTTAACAATCCTTCATGCGGTAAGCTATCCCTCTTCAAAAGCCATGGCTTGCACCATCTTGACTTTTTTTTCTTTTTTCTTTGTAATGTAAGTGCCAGCGCTACATGTACTAAATCGTCCGATGAAAAACAGAGACATCTTTCCGATTCAAAACGTTGTGAAAACTGAGCAAAAGAATGTAACGTGAGTGGCCTACCCACTCGGGCATAGGTTTGTGCAGTTGACCATACCATAACCCTACCATTGCTAAAGACTGTAGCGTGAATGGGGGGCTTTAGATCCGCTACCGTACACTTAAACTCGGCTGTTGAATTGTGCCACAACCTGACCGAACCTTTGCCAAATCAAGACTTCCTACCATAGGTACAAGGTCACGCCTAACCTAAAAAGAAATTGCTATTCAATAGTTAATAGAAAAGTACAAGCTTGAGTTCTGTGGCCTCTTTCGAAAAGGTATGGACGAATCAATACTTTGCACTGCATAGAAGTGAAAAAGAAATTTCGGAAAATAGTGCGGGGTAAAATATTTTGATATCAGGGATTTTGAAATACTTTACTTTAAAATATCACTGCAAAGGCCTCCCTGCATCAATGTGTATGATCAGCGGAGATATTGGCGGGCAGTTGTAAAGACGTCACAGGCAAGGGGTTTTAGAAGACGGAGATTGAGGCCCAGTGTAGGGGATCGCCCCTACTTTGGACTTCATCTCTTGCCTCCACTAATTTAGCAAAGTGTCTTCTCCCCCTTTGCTTTTCCTTCTCTTCATCCCTTCTGTGCACTTATCCTAATCGCTAACTGATCTTACCCTTTTCGTCACAATATTTTATAATGCTATTCCTGGGGGGGGGGGGTCTGACCCAAGCCTCACCGTATCGCAGTATTTTGAATACGCCGCTAATGACCTTGAATGTTAACGCGTCCGAAAAAAAATCAATAATCACAGCCGAGAAAACTACAAGGGAAATACTGGTAAGTTGTTTTTTTCGCTCGTGACGTCGTCTCTATTCGTGCCCGCCCTTGTGCCCATCGATCAAGCTCGCTTGTGTGGACAGGCCTTTATAGTTTCACTACTTGATTCTTATTTATATATCACGGAAAGAGAAACAAAGATGTTTGTAAAATGCTTAACTCCGTCCTCCTCACTGACTGAGCTTCAGTTACCTCACACACGTGTAGTGTTGAAAAAGGTATGATCAACAATTAATCGCATAACTTTTCTACATTTGTTTACATGAAATTCGTTGCCAATAATATTGTAGTATGTAACTTTTATCTTATTATTTTTTTTTTTATACCTAACTTTAATTCAATGTATAACTTCATTAAAAGAAATAGTTCCATGCTGTATGATTGTGTTGGGAGCTGCACTCGATGTAACCCTGACCCAGTTAGTCAAATGGCGTGTTCTTTGTTCTATCACGGGTCATCTATGCATATGACCAAGTGTTTGTATTGCTTAATTAGTTTTCCTTTTAATGTTTTTTTTTTTTATGTAATACTTTTTTTTAATGATTTCTTTATTTACCTATTGATAGTCTGAATATTTTTCTTGTATTGATTTCTTTTATTTTTTAAACATAGTTATCAGGCTGTTGTGTTAACTTTGCAGTCACGCAGGCCTTCTGTTGATTTTGTTTCCATGAGACGCCACAGGTCCTTACACTCATTCTCTCAAAAAAGAATAAAAAGTTCGTAATTGATTTTATTTGACATGGGTGTTTAACATAACAGTAAACTCTAGAAATACAAAAGTGCAATGAAATTATGAATTCCATAAATTTCCGTTAAATAGTAACGTTCGTGATATGTCCTTTCTTTCAAGCCAAGTTCCCCATCCAGGTTGCTCTGTAGTAAATGCGAATGTAGTATTATAAGCGCCCTTGTAAGCGCTTCTCTTTTGAGAACATGCGACTTGTAGCTCCTAATCTCTCCCCCCCCCCTCAAAAGCAAGGGTAGTTCATACTCTTCAGATACTTTTCATTTTATTTATTTCTCTTATTTTGAAATTTATGACGATTCCTGGTCAGTATCCTTCACATAACATGTATATATTTGTTACATTTGCTAATTACAACAAAAAAGTAGAATTTCGTTGCTATTGGAAGGATAGAAAAGATTTGCCTCCTCGTCATTTTCACGTGGTCATAACTTGCATGAATCCCCAATCCCTTGGTCGTTGTTGTCGTAGGGGTGGGGGTGGGGGGGGGGCTTGGAGACGGAGATTGAGGCCCAATGTAAGGGATCACCTCTACCTTGGACCTCAGCCCTCGCTTTAACTAATTTTGTATGGTCTTTTCTTCTCTCCCTTTCCTTTTCCTTCTCTTCATCCCCTTCTTCCGACCACTTGTCCAAATTGTTTACTGATATTTACCTTTTTCGCCACAATACTTTACAATAGTGCTGTGTAACCTTTCATGTCTGGTACATTTGTTTGTTTTGGCCACTGAAATCTAGAAATGTTGGCGCGGCAGAAAATATTCATCAAACAAAATAAATCACTTGCATAAGGCTATCACTGTTTTCATGAATGACCGCTCCCTTTCAGGAAGGAAATCCTGAAAATTCAATGTTTATTTTGTAATTAGAATAGGTTATTTACTTAAAAAATATTTCTAAAATCTGTTTCTTTTATCTTAACAGTGTGATAACCTCTTCATGAATCAATTGATTAGACGATTAGTTAAACTAGTTTGCAGTGAAAAATGACGTAAGAATAGGACATTTCCGTAAACAAACCTTTCGATTTCCCCTTATCACCATTGGTATTTTTGTAGTTTTCTTTGTATGCATGACCTCCGTTGCTTAAAATATCTGGTAATTTTGAATTGTATCAATAAAACTGTTTTGAGATTAAGGCTGCCTACACATGGAGCGTTTTTTCGACGCGCGTCATAAAAGACGCCGTTACCTACACATGGGGCGTTGTTTTCCGGTTCAGTTGGCAGTGCAGCGACAGTAGTGGAGGAAGAAAGATTCATAATCTAGTTCATTTCAATCAAAGATTCATAATCTAGTTCAAAGATTCATAATCAATTCATAATCTAGTTCGACAGCCATAATAAAGCCTACTGAAAGACTGGGAAGTAGATGTGATGCAAATCTGAAAACAGGTAAATTAATCAGTATAAATAAATACACTGATAATAATATTCACTTCTATAAAGTCTCTACACATGAATTTTTCAGCAATTTGATCTATATTTCACCAAATAAAAATCAAATTAAAATGTTTTCGAACACAAAATAGTCCTATGATAATGTAAACGAGCGAGTACAAACTCACGACGCGACGCTCCGTCTGTAGGACTCGTAGCAAATGCACACCCGCCACTGCTGAGCAGTGCAAACAACGCCTGAACTTTAGCAGGATGACGCTTCAGCGTCACAATGACGGTCGTCTTCTTGACGCCCCGTGTGTAGGACAGCATCTGCTAGCACAGTCACCAAA